ATTGCCACTCCTTCAAAATATGTGGACAATGCCAGGGCGGTCACCACATGTTAGTCTGTACGAAAGGCCGAGAGAACAAAGGGCCTCAAGCAAATTATCGTCAAGGAAATAAACAGAAACCACAAAAGCAATTTACTCAAATGGCCGCGACCTCAGAGAAAGGTCCCGTCACGGGTTCAAATTTGATAGAACCCTCAGTCGACAATGAACAAGTACAACCAGAGAAATCAATTACCGCAATGGCTTATTCCCATCTTCGCAAAAAGCCAACCGCATATCTTATGACAAGAAAGATTGCGATTGCCTCACCTAGAGAGCCAAACAAGGAAATCCCTGCATTTGTATTTTTCGATCCAGGGAGCCAGTTAAGCTACATTGTAAAGTCATTAGTGAAACAATTACGCCCTCCCCAAATTGCCCGTGACGATGTTGAAGTTCACGGCTTTGGCGGGACGTTACGCGATCCGATTAGAATTCGTTCCCCGTCCTATGCCATTTCTATCCAACGAGAGGACGGCGAATGGGAGGAAGTAGAACTTAATTGGACTAAAGAGATAAGCACTTCATTCGAAATGGCCAACTGGGTAGCCGAAATGCCTACTCAAGTTGCCGATTTTCCTGAAGTCCAGAAAGCAATAGAACTTTCGACGGAAGTCCCGGGAATTATGCTCGGCACCCGTCATTTCTGGAAATATTTTATGGGAAGGACTGAAGTCGCCCCAGGGCTCTTTGTCATTCAAACAGCCTTTGGTCCGGTAGTTGGAGGAGAATCCGATATGAGCCCTCAGGGAGGGAAACTTTCGCATTCTCTCGCTACTGTAAGCAATGATAGCGTGGACCAAATGCCCCAATCAAACACAATAGAGGAGTTCTGGAATCTCGAGAGCATAGGTATTCGAGAAAATCCAGCCTCCGACGATGACCAAGTTGCCATAAATCAATTGAAGAAATCAATTACTCAAGATAAGGAAGGAAGATATACTGTTAGCTGGCTATGGCGCGAACCGAAAGCCCCATTACCCAGTAATTACAGAATGGCCTACAGTCGCCTATGTTCAACATACAACAACCTTAATCGATCAAAAGAATTATTAGAGAAATACAATAGAGTCTTCCTTGATTACCTCAAGCAAGGAATTATCGAACCGGCTCAAAAGGACCCGGAAGGCCAAGAACATTATCTTGCCCACCACGCGGTCGTTACCCACAAATTACGTCCAGTATTCGACGCAAGCGCCCATCCCCGAGGGCAGCCATCATTAAATGATTGCTTGCTTCGGGGACCGGTCCTGCTTCCAGAACTTGTCGGATTACTTATCAGATTCCGCCAACCCAAATACGTCGCCATATCCGACATTGAATCAGCATTTTTGATGGTCGGGCTTCACCCTGCCGACCGAGAGGTCGCCAAATTTTTGTGGGTGAAAGACCTTCAAAAGCCCCCCGTCGGCGAAAATATTCAAGTCTATCGCTTCGCCCGGGTGGCCTTTGGCGTTATATGTTCCCCCTATCTTTTAGCGGGAGTTATTCGCCACCATTTAGACAAGTACGGCCCAGGAGTTGCCTCCGAACTAGCAAACAGCCTTTACGTAGATAATTTACACCTAGGGGCTGAAACCTGGCCCGAACTCCTCGATAAGTGCCGTAGGGCAAAGGAGATTTTTTCTGACGCAAGTATGAACTTGCGAGAATTTTCATCCAATTCAGCTCAACTGATGAATGCCATTCCCGAGAAAGATCGTTTGGACTCAAAGGAGCCCAAGGTTCTCGGGATGAGGTGGAACATCAACACAGACAGTCTTAGTTTTCAACTGCCCAACGAAACCATGAAAAAGAACGTCTCAAGGCGAGCCGTTCTCAGCTCACTAGCCGGCATATATGACCCGCTAGGTCTATTGTCCCCCTCAGTCCTCCCAGCCAAGCTTTTCTTTCAGAAGCTCTGGGACGAGGGCCACGACTGGGACAGCCCCCTATCCGACGAAGAGACATCCGTTTGGGAAAAATTTCTTAAGGGGTGGCAACACACAAACATTTCTCTTCCTCGGAGGGCGCTCTCAATTACACCTCAAGAAACCGAAATACACACATTTGTAGACGCCTCCTCCTGCGCCTATGCAGCCGCAGTTTACCTTAGAGGGGTAAACAATGATTCAATTTCCACCTCATTGATATTTGCCAAAAATCGCCTCAAGCCAAAGAAAGGCGGTAAAACATTAACCATACCAAGAATGGAATTAATTGCTATTCTTATCGGAGTCAGAGCTACGGCTTATGTAAAGAAAGAGATAGGCGTACCTTTGACTCAAATCCACCTCTGGAGTGATTCTCAAATAGCCCTTTCATGGGTTAGATCGCCCCAAAGCCAACCATCCTTTGTCCAAAGGAGGCTTGACGAAATAAAGAGACATACCAACATAACATTCCACTATATTCGTACCAATGAAAATCCAGCTGACTTAGCCACCAGAGGCCTCACACCCCAAGAGCTAAATCAGAACCGACTGTGGTGGACCGGCCCAGACTGGTTAGAGAAAAGTACGCCCAGTTGGCCCGAGGACCCCACTTTCGAGACATTTAACCTCAAGGAAGCTATAGAGAATGAAACCGAAGAAAATCACAGTGACCAAATTTTAACTCTCCAAGCCCAGGTTACCTCGCGCGAAAGTCATCAGCGATTGATCCGCTCGAGCTCCTGGGTCAAATCAAGAAGAATTATGTTCTACATACTCAGGTTTATCAATGTTATACTCGGGATAAAAGGAGCCCCAACGATTGGCCTAAAATCGGTCTCGAGAGATGGGCCTCCAACAGCCTCGGACATCACCTTGGCTGAAAAATATTTAATCAGATGGGAACAAAATGAATGTTCCGAAGAACTTTTGAAATACAAACACATCATCGACAAGGATAAAATCATTCGCCTTCAAACCCGGATGATTAACAGTCAAAGCCCTGAGGGCCTGATCCACCCAATTCTCCTCCCGAAAAATTCTGACGTGGGCAAACTTGTGATAATTCATATTCACAAAGGATTATGCCACGCGGGAGTAGATTGGACACTTACCGAATACCTTAATCACTATTGGCAACCTAAAGCCCGTCAGACAGTTCGCCGGGTCATTTCGGAGTGTATGGCCTGTAGGAAAATGAATTCCTATAAATACGCTTTACCTGAAATGCCTCCGCTCCCTTCTGACCGGGTTCAACAAAGGCGTCCATTCCAGTCAATTGGAATCGATTATGCCGGGCCTACCCTTACCAAAGTCAACGGAGCGCTCGTCAAGTGTTGGCTCGTACTTATAACCTGCCTTACAACAAGAGCGGTCTATATTGAACCAACACTTGATCTGACCGCAGCCTCCTTCATAAATGTCTTCCGCCGTTTTATTAGCCGGAGAGGCAAGCCGGAAAGAGTTCTCACCGACAACGGAAGGAATTTTGTTCTCGCTGAGAAAGCAATCAGCGCTGCCTTAGCACCTCTTTTGGCTGACAGCAAAATCGAGTGGAAATTTATTCCGACCCTTTCACCTTGGGCCGGAGGCGTTTATGAAAGAATGATAGGCTTGGCCAAAACATGCTTCAGGCGTACACTAGGGAAGCAGATCCTACCTTATGACCAGCTTGCCACTTTCGTCGCCGAAGTGGAAGCTGCTCTTAATTCTAGACCACTTACCCACGTTTCAGATGGGGAAGGTGCTCCGTTACCACTAAGACCAATAGATTTCATTCAGCCGGGCTCGATTCTAAATTGTGACCCCGCCAATAAGCTAAAACGACACGAACATTTACAACCTCACGAACAATTACTCCTCCACTGGAAAGGGACTCTAGAGAACCTAGACTCCCTCTGGACACTTTGGAGAAAAGAGTATTTGGTGCTCCTCCGTGACAATTCCAAATGGAATCACGCGGGACCACGCCTTCAGACCAAATCATCTCCTGAAGTTGGGGACGTTGTTTTGGTAGAAGACTTTATGCAACCGAGAAATACTTGGATCATGGCTCGGGTTGAGCAATTGAACGGCCAACCAGGACCCATCCGAAGTGTAAAACTTCGCATGCCAAATGGTCGAATTACCACCAGGCCGGTAAATCGTATATACCCACTCGAGGCCGGACCCGAATCCAATGATAAAGAAAACATACAACCAGAGATCCCTGCTGGTCCTGAGACGGAACCACCAGACCCTGGTATCAAAATCACTAAAAAGATATCACCGTTTGAGGAAGAGGCGGAAGAAGATCCCCCTCCTCCTACGCCAATACCTACCAATTTAAGACAAGGAAGGAATATTGATATTCCTTCAACTACCCCAAAACATCGAATGATTACACGCAGCAAAGCTACAGTAATGGCTGCTGCATTATTTGTCCTTTGCTTCTCCTCAATACTATTTTCAACAATTTCAGCTGTTTCGATTATTGAATGCACTGGTTGTCCTTCTTGTCGAGGATGCCTAGTCCATTGCAATAATCGAGGAGTACGAATTTTTGCACCTGAAAAAATAAGTAAAATCCAAATCTGTTGTGCAGAACATTGTCACTTATTTCCCGGACAGCCAGAATTTAATCACATTCTGCCCAAGGAAATGTTAGTGAATAATTATGAGTGCAAGGCAAACTTTTGGGATACAAATAGAGAAAATCCATATGAGGTCTCTGCCCAATGTTCTGCCTTCCACCCCTGTCAATTAATAGATTGCAACTTCTGTCTAGAGCTTTTATTGAACTCAAGATGCAAACCGAAAATGGCAGCCATTGTTGCCTGCAGCGTTCTCTTTCCCATTCTCCTTTTACTCAGCTGCCTCTTCGGAGCCATACAAAAATTTATTAAGCCCTTCGGATTCCTTTTTAAAATATTGAGAAAAGCATTCCGGAGGCAAAGAGAACGTGCAAAAACAATAAAAAGAAAATTAATAATTAAAGAACCAATAAGGAAATTGACCAGAAACATAAAAGAGGTGAAAAAGAAAGGTAGGGAACTGAGACAAGCTAGCTTAATGCGTCTCGCACGTTACGGTATCTTCTCTCTTTTCCTAGCTTCTAACCTTTCACTCGCCAACTCTGATACTGTAGCTGTAATATCACAATCCGAGAGTTGCCGAGTCAATAATGGCACTAGATTTTGTTCGGTCACCAGCTCAACAACATTGAGTTTGTTGCCTGCTGGCCAGCCCAATACTCTCCTAATAAAAAATAAAGTTGGAGAAGTATTAGGAGCTTTGACGTTGACCCTAAAAGCACTAACTCTCGTCTGCAATCCAAAGACAATAGCCTACCTAAGAAGTTACCAGATCAATACCCGTTCAGTCTGGCGATGTCCGACTAGCGGCTCTTGTTCAGGAAGCTTCTGCTCACAAGTCGGGCCAAACACGCATATCCCCGAACTCGTTGAAATAATGGATAAAGTCGGCACTAGTGGATGCCTCGAGCCATCCGCTATGTGGAGTAAGGGATGCGGATTACCTACAGCCAGCTGTCACTTTTACCGCTGGTACGCAGTCCCCATGTCCCTTGATGTTTACGAGCTATTTGAATGTCCAACATGGGACTACCACATAAAAGCAGATCTCGCGATTACAGTCAATGATAATGTTCTAGAGGAATTTTTGACTTTAATACCGGGACTGACCCATCACGGAACAAACATATCATTAACACCAATAGCTGTCTCTAACCCTCCGGCACCAATTTTAGGCACCTCTTTCCTAACGCATGGCTTTTCTGTTGCTTTAGGAAAAGATGTACCTCGAGACTTAAAATGTCCCGATCTACCAAGTGCCCGAGGTTTTGGCTGTAGCATTTCTGAAGAGGCGTGCCGAGACTGTCGCCACGCAAATGATACAGTAACGTGTCAATGCCGAGAGTTTGACGCGGAGGCGATTCTTGCCGACCCAGAGGCACGTCTCCCCCTCAACATCGGCCGGCACACCTTCCTAACAGATGGAGAGCAAGTTTATGTTGAACAAACTTATACCCCTATCCAAATTCACTTACAAATGAAAAATTTCCAACTAATATCAGAAATCACTGAGTCGTCCTGCAAAATCACTGCCAAGAATGTTCGAGGTTGCTATAAGTGCCTTAAGGGCGTCCAAGTAAATTTTACTTGCACGACTGATTTTGGCACGGCACTCGCTTATACCCGATGTGCCGATGGCATTAACTTCGTTACTCGTTGCTCTAAAAACGGAACGGAGGGAATTGCCGCTTTTACCTACACCAGATCGAGAATCGACACTATTTGTACGACCAAATGTCCGGGAGGTGACTCGGAATTTAATCTCAAAGGAGAGCTGATGTTTATCCCTCTCCCGTGGAAAGAAAGAGAGATAGTACAATCGATGTCCGGGCAAAAGACATCGGTCTGGAATTTATCAAATTTCAGCCCGTACTCACTTTTCCCCGCACTACCAATTGGATTTATCATATCTCTTCTCTTTGTTTTAATTTCTCTTCTAATTTTGTTCTATTTCTTCCTCCGGCTTAAATTAAAATTTTTTAGAAAAATTGCGACTCAACTTGTCCCAATTTTTATCGCCATTTTTTTGGCCGGCGGGGAAGGGGCTATATGCCCATTGAATAAAACATCGGCCAAACTTCAAATAAAAATTTGGCAAATACAAAAGAATAATTGTGTGCACATTAAACATTTAAAAATGTTTTTCTGTCCAACATCTGCACAAATTACACATTTCACATCCCTTTTTGAAAAGTTAGCAAAGGCCAAAAATAAAGCTAACTTTTGTAATTCTAAAGACGCACTATGGCGCATTATTCAACAAGCGCCTGTCCGTCACATTAAATCAAATAAACAAAAGGAAGTAAAAATGAATAATTGTTTACTTCACATTAACTTTACCCATCGAAACACACAGATGGCTATCTTTTTCTTCAATTCTCTGAAAGATGAATTGTTTATTGGAATGCCAAAAATTGGCGGTGCACGAAGGAGAAAGAAGGCAAGGCCATTGGGCCAAAACTTTCTCATCGCACCGCCCAACATTCAACCAAAAAAGTTTGGCTTTATAAATAGCCAGCAAAGCCAAGAAAAATCATTTTCCACTTGGCAGTTTATTCAAAACTCCCAAGCGACCTTTCCATCCATTGCGACTCTAAACCTTTTCCTTTTTCAAGAAATGCAAGCGCAACCCTGCCTCGTACCCCCCGAGTACGAGCCAGGATCTACCTATAGGGAATATTTTCTAAAATGCCAGGAGGTAGGATACACTCCTGACTGGCCACGGAGAGGACAGACAATGGCCGAATACATTCCCAAATCCGTCGGGCGCTTTTGGCCCCCGACCTGGACCAATGACACTCCGCGCCGACGAGCACAGGGTTTGTTGCTCCTCCTTTGGGAGAATTTGACCTATAAGGGTAAGAGGCTGCCGCAGGCAGATCCAATCCTCAGTCCCCCCGCCTGGATCACCGATGTTCAGCCGGGGCAGACTGTTGAGGATTTTTTCCGGGATAAGGGTCAGCCACTGGAGTATCCCGAACTCCCGTGCCTGGTCCTGAAGGGAGGAGTTCGAGGCTCCTCCAGGCAGAGTAGGCAGAGGGCCCGTGCGGTTGGCCACTCTTGCTGGAAAGCAGGCCAACTCCACGAAGAATACTTACCCCTGGAGCTCTTGATATACACCCCGGTTGAATACCCGGAACCGAGGATTGGACATTCCGCCACAGGGCGCAATATTCGACCCTCTTCTAGGGTCGGGAGTTCGTCAACCACACAACCACCACCGGCTCGGAATCCTCGAGAGCCCGAGGTGATAAGAGAGGAGGGGAATGAGGAAGCCCTAAAGATTATAATCCCTCGTGCGTGGCGCCCCATTAAATCCATCTCAATTATTTTTGCTATAATTGCTTTGGCTTTTGCTCTAGGCGCGGACACTGTCCCCGCTCAAGAATTTAACGGTTTTTTACTTTGTCCTTTCTTTCGCGCTCCGTGTTGTTTCTTGCCCTTTGTTAACAACAATTACTTACTAATTTCTAGTATGCCTAAACGTTCCAGCTCTGCTACTGTCAAGGAACAACGAATTATTAAAAAAGCTCGTGAGAGTGCCTTTATTGCAACATTTGGAAAACCTCAAAGTATTGAGGACCAAGAAGAAATGGACCGTTTGGTTAATTCAATGGAAGAGATTCCACGTCCAGACAACAATACAAAATTCATCGAAAGCAATAAGGACCCGCAGAGTCCAAAAACAGCGCTAATTGTTAATCCAGAAGAGGATTTTTCTGCTTCAATTTTACCTTTGACAACACAAATAGAAAATGAAAATAAACAACAACAGCAGCAACAAAACCAACCACCTCCAATTCCTTTAACGACATCCACCCAGCCGCCATTACAATATAAATTGGCAACAGCACTTGCTCCCACTCAATCATCACAAATGGAAGGGCAAGTTACGATTGGAAGCGGAGGAGGTATAAGTGAAAACCCTGAAAATCCCCCAAAATCCATTTATACAGATTGCAGCCTCGAGGAGCGCATATCAAATGCCCTCCTTACCTGCATCAGTAAATTGACTGAAAAGGCCGTGGCTATTCCGCCACCAGCTTCTACCTCTCAAATTTATGGTGCGCCAACATCAATGCCGTCCGTTAAACAACCGACCGCTTTCCCACCTCCGGAGGTTAAGGGTGCGATTCCTCGACCTATCCCATTGTCTCGCGTTGGAGAAACGGACCATGGGGAAGTAGGCCCTCGAGGTGATCCTCGTCGCCCTACTCCTTATGCTCGGGAAGCTGCTGGGGGCCGGCCTGTTCGCCCGGCCCTCGGTCGTTCACCACTGGTCGACCAACACCTCCGAACTCTGCGTATCCAGGCAGAACAACTTAATCGATCAGTTGGCCGAGCTCTTGCAGATTTGGAACAAGAAAAATTAGAAGAGCCAATCCATGATTTTTTGGCAATAGAGGGAGGAATTACACGTGTTTTGAAATCCATTCGTACCACCATTTCTCGCCTTCCCCCTCGCTAAATGTTTTTCCGCCGGGGCGGGGAGTGTGCCCAAAAGGGCACTTTAAATCCCAATTTATTTTATTAATCTATATTTTAAAATTTATTTATCTCTCCCCGCTCCAAAACACATTTTCACAATTTACTTTTTTCTATTTCACATTTTTCTATCGCCCATTTTTTGTCCCCTATTTAATGCTTTGGCCAACTTCCTTTAATCACTTGTTGTTCCCATCATTTTACTTGCTTTTCAACGACTTGCTTGCTTTTGGATTGCCAGCGCTTTTTGAGCCCTGCCAATCAATTCCAACCAACCTTTTTAACTTGCTCGCATTTTAATATTGTTTAAGACCACAAGGGCCTGCTTTGTTGACCTGCAGCCCCCAAATTTGTGCTCGGCTTATATTCCCCCGAGGCACTTCAATTATAATATTATTTTGATTAAATAAATATTTTTTAATTGTGTTTTGTGTTTCGTTTGTGTTTTACTTAGGGACTCGTTTTCTGGAGATTGGATATCTCCGTCGACCATAAAAACTAAGGAGCGATTCGTTCTGATCGAATTCCTCCTGTCCCTCCTCAAGTTGAGTTTTCGAGGTATTGTGCACCTATACTTTCAGCACAGGTATCTTAATTTATATATTCATTATAATTTAAAACACCAGTTTTTATAATTAGCGAGTGTCTTTTTAGTTATACCTGCTTTTAAATTATTTTGTGAGATATGTAAGAAAAACTCTGTTTTACGGCATAGTGTTGCGTACCTTTCAAGTTATTAAAGCCTAAAGACCCTATATATCTCGCCCTTTCGGACCTAGAACCTTTAGCCTATTTTGACCTTTTTGGTCCTATTTTAGGGGGCTTTTTAATATTTTTTTTTAAATTTGACTATTTTTAGTTAATTTTTCAATTTTCTGTCAAATTTTTATTTAAATGAAGGTAATAATTGGGAATTTATTAAAAGTTGGTAGTTTAATACACGAGAGTGAGACTCGACCATAATCCCATGAATTTTATCAATTATTTAATGATTAAACCTTAAAATGAGAGTTAACAACAGGTTGTACAGGAATTCTTTCCTCAGTCAAATCAGTATCTTCCTGAGGTGGATTTTGGGGGAGATGGACCTCAGGATTTTGATGACGTGTACATTTCACAAATGAAATGTTGCAAACAACCAGAAACAAAAGCTGAGACACAAGAATGGATTTAATAGAATTGGACATATTTTTCAAGAAATGTTTTTTGGTGTTTATCTTCTAAATTTTAAAATTAATTTGAAATAAATTAACAAATATTAATTCTATTATGAATCAAACATTAAAACAATTTGTGTGTGTATTTTCTTAGGTAGGGAATATTTTTATCTTATAGGATTTTGGAATTGATTTAGAGAGGATCTCCAAACAAGTTGAAGGCCTTTAATAATTCAAAATAATACGGAAGGGCTGTATTATCAAATCAGATAGCCCTTTATATTAAATTTAAGATCCGATGGATGAGTCAATTTTCGCCCTAGGAAGGCCTTGTAACCGATACAAATGCCTAAATTCACCGAAGCTTTTTAGTGCATATAGAGAAAATATTGTTTTTATTTTTAAATTTATTTATGCGTGTATATGCTGGACAAAACTATTTATAAAAGCATATTAATCTCAAAAGCTTCGAGCATTCTCCAGAACTGGGTTTTGTTGGGCCTAAACGCATTCACTATATTGAGCGTGAGCGTTGTTCACCAAGAAAAAATTTTTTAATAATAAAATTAAATTAATTAAAATATTTTTTAATTAATTTAAAATTATTTAATTTTTTATATAAATTTAATAGAAAATAAAAATTAAATATTATTTTAAATAAATTGACAAATTTTGACTGTTTAAATGCAGGTGAATGCCAAAAAATTTAATTGGGGAGGCGGGGATATAAATATTCCCATTGTTTATTATCACGAGCATCGATTTAAATAAATATTGAATAGAGCATTCAATAAATCCGCAAAAAATTTTACGCAAATTTCCCTAGTTATGCAAGATTAATTAATATTAGTTTTGAAACCCGGACCGGATCCGTATCGGGACTTTCGGGATTCGGTAGTCCCGATCCGGATATTTTGATAAAAATCGGGAATTCGGGATTTTAACCCTATTTTATCGGGTCCGGATAAAGAAATTTATTAATCCAGAAACGAGATCCGGCATTTTCCAAACTTCCAACTCTAATTAATATTTCCAATATTTTAAAGTTGAAAATAAATTATGAGTTCTTATTTCTCTTAAAATAACACCTTTTAGTAAAATAAGAAGGTAAATCTTTAAACCAAAATTTTATTTTCATTATTATGAGATATTTTTAATACATATGTGTTAATTTTTAGGTGAAATGAAAAAATGAGCAAGTTGGAACCAGCGTAAAACATAATTTTTAAATGTTTCACATCAAGATAAATCATATGTACAAAACTAACAAGCGGGAGATACAACTTAAATAAAAACCTTAAAGTTGAAGATTAATGTCCAAAATTTTCTAAATAATTTGCGGATTTTTGACAAAAAAGTGCATATAAACTCGCATATAAACAATTATTGGCAGTGAAAGAGAGGTAAGGAAAAATCTAGCCATGTCTACATATTGAGAATCTCCTCGCCTGCCAGAGAAAAAAGCTTGCAGTGATAGGCAGAATAGCACTTTCTTCGCTAGACAAAATCCCAAAATTCTCTAAGGATTTTGGCATTGATTTAGAGAGGGCCTCTAGCATTTGTGAAGGCCTTTAAAATTTAGAGGGCCTCTAATAAACGCGAGACCCTCTCTATTAAAAATTTGTCAGTCACTCACTCTCTCACTGTCTCTCTCTCTCTACAATGCCATGCCTTTCAAAATTTATTGAGGATTTTGCCTTGCTTGCGAGAGGGCCTCTAACAATGTGAAAGCATTTAAAAATTTTAAATAGAGAGGGTCTCTCTAATAGACAAGACCCTCTCTATTTAACATATGACAAACAATAGACACTCTCCCCTCATGCCTTTAAAAATTTCACTCGTGGGCCTTCACATGATAACAAATCATATGCCCAACAATTTTTACAAACTACAAATTAAATTTTAAAGAAAGCTAAAAAAATATCCTCAGCGAGGATTTTTTTTGAATTCTAAATAAACAATTATCTTCTGTAGTTTACCTCAGCGGAAGAGGTGTGCGAAATCGTTTTATTGCGCTTCGATAATTTAGAATTCTCGGTTCCCTTTATTCCCTCGCGGAATAATTATTGCATATTTTTGAGAATTATAGACTGTTGTAAGAGTCAATTTAAAAAGCTCAAAATCCATAAAAACACCGAAAAAACTCAAAAGCAAAGCGCAGAATTGTCTTATAGTGCGTAAATATAAAGGATTAATTATATATAACACAGTCCCAAAAAATAAGATAAAAAGTTAACTTAATTATTTTCAATAATCTAATATTGTAACCAAAGACTCGATACACACTATTTCTCGACATTTCCAAATCCACCCCCGGACTCAAATAGACTTTTAATCCTTTTTCCCTAGCTCTCATTTCATTAAAACCCCACCCTTTTTATTCACAAACAACCAACAACTAATTCCTCCGATCAGTTAGTTGTTGAGAGGTTATTGGAAAGATGGAGCTGATGAGAAAGAATTACAATTAATTTTTAAATGTATTTTTCCATTTTGTTTATTATTTTTTAATTAATCAAACATATGTTTATCAATTACGATTATTTTATTTTAATTACATTTATTTGGATTAATTTTAATTTATTTTTATTTGGATAATTTTAATTTAATTTAAATTTAATAATCATTTTCTCTTAATCAGTGTCCACTTTGTATATATTGGGAAAAATAAGAGAATAAGTTGTCCTCTGCGCCTCCCCCTTTTTGTTGATCCCCAAATCCTCCCCTTCCAACCGGCGCTCCGAGGATGCACCGGACCGAAAGGTCGCGGTTGCTACCTATATGCATCGCATATTAGTGATGTTCAGGAGAAAAAAAGACCCTGGAATCGGGAAACGGGAGTCGGGTCGGGAAATGACCTCGGGGGTCGAGAATTTTCAACAATTTTATACACTAATATGCGATGCATATAGTTAGCAACCGCGACCTTTCGGTCCGGTTTTTAAAAAATTTTCTAAACATCAAAAATAATTATTCATCAAACCTAAAAACTAAATTTATTATTAATAAAATAATTATTATTAGAGGTTTTAATTTATTATTAATCTTAAAACAAGAGTAAAAAGATAGGCTAATTTTAAAACAATTAGAATAATGTTTAAGACCTGAATCGTGAAAACTCAATACAAAAATCGACACTTTCATGTAACTTTTCACCTATTCCATCGAACTTTTATAAGTTTGGAAGGCTAAGAAGCAGTCTTCTTCCCTTAATCTCGAACCCATAAGAGTTAAAAATTATTATTTTTTAACTCTTAGAGGGCTTCTAAAAGAGGGCTTCTAAAAAATTTAAATATTTTTTAATAAATCCTACTTGAATAAATAAATAGGTACTTAATGTTGCAAATGTAAATAATTGCTCAAAACTTATTAAAACAACTTGCGGATTTTTGACATAAAATTGCAGAAAGAAAGTGCATAAAAACTCGCCTGTTAACGATGGAGGGAGTTAAAGAAAAAAAATTTTTTCAGTGGAGGAGAGGTAAGCAAAGAAATAGCCATGCTATTGAAACGCTCATCGTCAGCTTGAAAAAACGCTCGCGCATGATAAACGTCTGCCAATTTTTTCGCTAGACAATGCCTTTCAAAATTCATTGACGATTCTGGCATTGATTTAGAGAGAGCCTCTAGCATTGTAAAGGCCTTTAAAATTTAGAGGGCTTCTAATAAACAAGAGACCCTCTCTATTAAAAATTTGACAGTCACTCACTCTCTCACTGTCTCTCTCTCTACAATGATATGCCTTTCAAAATTCTTTGACGATTTTGGCATTGATTTAGAGAGAGACTCTAGCAGTGTGAAGGCCTTTAAAATTCAGAGGGCCTCT